GAATCTAAAAGGCAGAAATCCTGATGTTCTTCCAGGGAGCAATTCCTCTGAGTCATTCCTGTGAAGTGGCTTTGCATCACTGCTCCACTGAAACATAATGATCTTCAGATGCCTCATTCCCTCAAAGGAAATGTCTTTAATTGGAGAAAGTAGAAGAAAAAACAATTGGGCCAAGTTTTCTCAGAGGATCTCAAACTGCTTTTCACGGCTCATTTATAAGTTCCTCTCTTCTTCTACCCTTTCTACAACCCCCACAAATACACACATATGTTACTTCTTTTCCCCCAGAAATCAGTCATTTATAAAGAAACCAATTATCTTTACCAAATAATTTTATAATTGCATCTTAAAAGCTGCTGTTGTTACATATAATACAATCAAATACAAACACCTGAGTATTAGATGATTTTCCCAGCATTCTCCAACATGTTCATGGTTAATTTGTCTGAAGAATCTGCTTTACTTCCAGGACTACCAATTCAACACTACTCATGTCCTTTAAAAATAATAATAAAATAAAGCTATGTATGTCAAGCTGAACTCCATAACACAGAATGGTGTCACAGTCATCCCTCAACCAGGTCAATGCCATGGCCTCTTGAGAAGCCACTCCAAATCTCTGTCTGTCACCTATAGTCAACCGCATCCACACAGGACCCTTTGCTAAATATATCACAACGTGCTAGTCACGCCAAGATTAAAATCCCACCATGACCTATCAGACCCTAAGTGATGACGTGATCGCTGGCTACCTCTGCAGCCTCATTTTCACAAACTCTCCCAATCTATAACACTTTCACAGCGTTGCCCTCCTCGTAAATCGTGTCATGCTTTATTTTTTATTTTCCCCATTTCCAAGCCATAATTGCCATTCCTGGAGTCTTGCATTTGTCTTTCCTCTGTTCAAGTACCCTACTCTGAGATCAGTGTCATTTTTCAGAGAAGACTTCTCTGATGCTTTCCATTGTACTCTGTTTCCTTATTTTGCATTAGTCTTTTTTCCTAGCATGTATCACTAGGTGATGGAATCCCCATGTTTGTTATCTCTCTCTTATATTAGAGTATGAGTTATGTGAGGGCAAAGATATGTGTTCCTACAGTTGTAGTACCAGATATATTGCCAAAACAGTAGAGTTTGAAAGTATTGGTCATCAAGAAAGTCATGACATATTTTTCTATGTTTTTCTATGCAAAAAAAAGTGTCATGACATTTTTGAAGACTCAATATATGTTGGATTCATCAATTAATAGGTAAAACATAAAATCAGTCAAAATTATATAGAAATGAAATTGTCAAGTCGTCATTTAATTAATAGCCTTTGATAATGTTTCTATCCCCTTGATCACTGGGTCGACACTTGAGAGGGTGGCCGTTCTTAAGGCCTTCACCTTTATGTCTGGTGCAAGGACCCCCGCATTCTTTTTTTACCATTCAAAAACACCTTGTCCCTCACCTTCCCCCCCAATTCTATAGAGCCTCTGCGGCCCATCCTTATGGGCCTAGGCCTCTATTCTATACTAACCCCTCGGGGTCGTTAGGAACAGCCTGAGCCAGCTTCACAAACGTCTTCTAGAGTGTGAGGGGCACTGCTCCTCTGAGGGTAATTGGTATCAGTCTCTCTTCTCCTGGCCTCCCTGCCTCACCACACTCATCTCACCTGTTGTGGGTACTGCCCTACTTCTCTTCCTTGCCCTTCTCTCTGGCCCTTAGATCTTTCGTTTTCCCATTAATTTGTTCAGGACTGGATCCAATCTGTCAAGCTCATGGTTCTCCACTCTTGCCGTGAGCAGCTCCCCTTCTCTGAATCAATTATTTGATTCTCCAAATCAGGAGGTGGGAATGTGGAAGGCCACATATTGTATCTTGCATATGAACAACTGTTTGTCCATTTTATTCCCTTATCCTAACATGGCTGTCTGCTTCTGTAAACCTGCTTGCTCTTCCCGTGAGAAAACAGCTTGTGCTAGCCATATAGGAAACCATATTGGGGACGACATCCAGTACCTGCTACTGTCTTTGCTAACCAGCCCGAAACCCTTTTGTTTAGCAATGTGAATGCTTGCATGGAAACCCCACTCCCCTCAGAAATAATTAACCTGCTTGATTCAGCTTCTGTAACTGCTTGCATAGAAACCCCTGGTAACTGACCCCCTATAAAAAGACTACTCCAACTTGAGTCAGGGCTACAGTTCTGACTCTTGGTACCTCCTCCCACCCCCAACCTCAGACTGTAGTCGCTGGCCAACTAAAAAGATTCCCTTTAAACTTAATCTGGCTTTGGCAGTCATTCATTCCGTAGCACTCTACAATGACGCCTCCTTCCAATATACATTTTTTGTTACCATTTATTTATTTTTAAATTATTATCATAATTTTGTTTATATTACTCTGAATCACATATATCTTTACAGTGTATTAAATTTCTTTTCCAGAAGGAATACCTTGCCTATCAGTCAAGACAAAGACATTACTATCCACATCATCATCATCATCAAATAGCTTTACATCATTTTCTTTCCAGAGTACGAAATATTTCCTCTTTGGAAATGCTACCACTTTGCCAATTGCATGTGAACTCAGTAGCACTGCAAATCCTACATCGAAGTGTTCTGCCTCTTCAGCATAAATCCAAGGAGCAGACACACAAGCAAACCATAGCATTATGACTCCTTAGCCCTGAAATTAAGAGTATGAGCCTAACAATGCCCAATCAATAGTAGTTATAGCTGGATGGATTTCAATACTGTACCATGAAGAAGCTACTAGAATTGCTCTAGAATTTTTATTATCTCCAGAATAAGTGTTATTCTTCCATTTTGAGAGCTACCTAATTTTCTTCCATTGCTTTCATCTCCTTTTTCTGTGGGTTTTGGTAGTTGTTTCAATTCACCAGGAGTTGTTTCTGTCACATTCCAAAATCCTAATATAAGCTTATATTCAAGCTGATATGGCTTAAAATACAAAATTGAAAAGGGGGCCCCTAACTTTTATTCTCTCTGTCTCATCTCTCTTCTTCCCAGTGTCTATACTAAACACATGCTCCCCAGCTACACAGTGTCCTCTACTTGCTCCAATCCCTCCTCGTTGACGGTACTACCCTCAGGGATGTTAATGCCCCTCCACAATGATTTTAATGTTTCAAAATCATTTTTACTTTCTCCCACCTGGCAGTAGTTCCAGAACCCACATCCTTTCTAATAAATCAGAGGATGAAAACATAAAGAAATAAAGGAAAGAATGGGTGAGTGAGTAGAGAAATCCTGGAGTGTTGTAAATCCCTACTTTCATAGGCTCAGAATTAGGCAGATAGGTCTCTACATGACAGATGTTGCTGACCCAACATCCATTGTCCTGGGGTTTTGGAGACTGGCCATTAAATTTAATCCACAGAGGTCCACATAAAGATACAGCAAAATTATTTATCTATTTTTTTCTGTGTTTAGATAGCCTTTCATCATGGTTCTTCCTTTTTACTTCAAAGTTCATTGCCAAGATCATACTGGGTTGCTACAGCCCAGGTCTATAGTCCCAAATCCTGACAATATAGAGAAACAGGGAAAAAAGAGAGAAGGACTGCAGCATGACCATAGCCCATTAGGGGATGCTTGTTTTCCTCCTATTTCTTTCTCTCTCTTTTCACTCTAGCTAGTACATGCTCTCTCTGGCAATAAAAACAAAAACAAAACTATAATCCAGCACAATTTGAAATCAGCAATCAGTGATTCATGAGTTTTTCGGCACTGAAAATTTGAATCCAATGCAACATTAATCAACATTACAGTTTAATAGAATGAAAGTAGCTGCAGCATCCTATAGCTCCAAACACTTTCTATGCTTTTGTGATTTTCTACCAGATAAAGAATATTTTTAACAAATCCACTGAGTGTTTTCTAGTTGAATTTGCTATTATACAGTTTATGAATTTAATTTTGCCTCTGTAAAACATGGGGTTATGATTTCCTTTTTGCATAACTCCACCATACTTACTTTCCTAAAAAGCATCCAGTATTTGCTATGTTTATTTTTGTTGTTAAAATACCAGCAATCTGACCCTTCACAAATTTTTGGAAACTCTGATCATATATTCTCAAATGTGTACTTATAATTTTGAAGCAAAGTGGTGAGAGCACAGAATTCTTAGCGCCATTCTCAAAACACGAATGTCAGATTTTTAAGTACTCACTCCATGCTACTTGTCTTTCTCTCAAGGACCACTCGATTCTTAATATGTTTACTCTTGGTTTTGTTTCTGTTATCGATCTCAATTCCAACTGTACATTTTCCCACAGTCCTCTGTCAACTTTTATGCCCAAATCCAATGCCATCTTTGGTAACCAGCCCCCACTAGATTTAATTTCCCTCCTTCAGACCTCCCTCTCCCTTCTCTCTCTGTCTCTCTCTCTCTCCCTTCCTTCTTTTCTTCCCCAACCTCTCTTCCACCTTTTCTTCCTCCTCTTCCTCCCTCTATTCTTCTCCAATCCCAACACAAAGTACACCAGGAAATTAAAGAGAATATAAGGAAAGTTTATGTAAAGCCTCTGCGATGGAAATAACAATATAAATTCTGTGAAGTTTTCAAGTATCCATAAGCTAATGCAATCTCAAATACAATTTTGATTTAACCTCACCAGTAAATAGTAACATGTTAACATGTTTTTTGCTGCCATTTAAAAGGATGAGTCACAAGTTTAGCCATACGCCACGATGATTGAACTGATAATGATGGAACACTATTCCCATATCTTCTGAAACCACGAGCTCTATATGACAGCTAAAGTATGCTTATCTGCAAACAACTAACTTGCAGAAACAAAAATCTACTCAAAAGAATTTCTCAACTAAAAGAAACAATGTATTACGATGAATATGGTAATATCCTTGATTTGATTATCACACACTGTATGTATGCTTTGAAAAAATCACGTCATGCCCTACAGAGTTGTATAAAAATTAAATGTAAATAAAAATTACAATAAGCAAGTATATTAAAAGTACTTACAGTTTCTTTACGATCTCTAGGAATTCTAATAACTTCTCTGAGGATCTTTTTGGTTCATGCAAAGTATGGCCACCATGTGCCTTTTTGATATGGACAGCTATATTGTGAGAGTCATCAGGTGGTTGGCATTGACTTTCTTCTGTTCCTTCGATGGCTTTTCTGAATGAAGAAATAGTATTTTATGGTGTTGCATACTGCACAAAAACTATTTATACTTACTTTACTGCGAAAAGTAGAAATGCACTGTTATGAGATTATTTGACATTTTAATAACATACTCCTTTTCAATATCACAGAATCTTTCAGTCATCCATAGTGCAGTTACACAGCCTACTCTAAAAATCAGCATATATATAAAATATTTTCAGAATATGAAATTTGATTATAAGTATTATAACCATTCTAAGCAATTGAAACACCTTTTATAATATATTAGGTTTCTGTGATTTAGGAAAACAGTTCAAGTCAATGGTAATACTTTTCTTTTTGTACTGTAACCATAACTTACTACTGTGCTTTCATATGTTATACCTGTAAGTTCCCAGATATTTATGGATGAATGACCATTGCCTACTCATTTTTCTAATACCAAGCATTCCTATTCATAGGTCACTGAAAACTGGAGGGCAAAGAATCAAACAAGTGTTGTCCAACTTTAAGAATAAAAAGAAGAGGTGCTAACTCAAATTAACATAGATTAGCCACCTTTAATTGTATACAGTGGAAGATAAACAATCTTATATATAAAAAATTACATGGGATTGTAACAATACAAGGAGTCTTCAAAACTTTATAAAAAATGTATTATGAAAATATGCATGGATTTTAAATTTTTGTGCCGTAATAAACTCATACTTAATTCTATTTTTTTCATAAACTTTTGTAAGTCTCCTCATAGTAAATTATCACATTAACATCTAACATTTGTTGAGTTTTTAAATGTGCTAACTACTCTGCTAAACAATGTATGTATGTTATCTTATTAGTATTAACCATGTACAATAAACAAAATCAGTACCCCACTTATAAGATAAAGTAATCACAGCTTGAAGAGTTTATTTAATTTGTTTAAGCTCTCTGGAAAGAGTTATTTTTAAGCTTAGCTAAAGTTCACAGATTATTACAACTTAATTGTAAAACTTGTTTATCTGAAGTACAGAAGAAAGAAGATAAAATACCTCCTACAACTTAAATACAAAAATAAAATTAAACTGATCTCCAGGCCTGGTTGTTAAAGGAGCCATGCTCCACATGGCTGACAGTCCTTGTGGGTTGAAAAACACACCCTAAACATGTTTGTGTGCATGCCCCAAATCCCAACAGGTTGAAGAAATGGAGAAGGATTACAGAGCTACAGACATTCCATTCAGAGATCTAGAGCCTCACTTAAAATACTAATCCACAGTTACTTCTCTAAATAGAATACAATCATAAGTACAGTAAAACTTAGCAATGATGAGACTTCCAGTGTAAAGTAATTGGCTACTTTCCTCTGCCCAGCCCTGAACCTCATATGCAAATGGAATGAAGTCCTTATTTCTGAGAAGTCAATGAACTAGAAGGCAAGGTAGAGGTTGATGGGGCAGATTTGAAAGAAATATGGAAAATGAGTGCTATGGACTCAGAATTCTTCTGGCTCAAATTTCTCATATATACCCAAGGCAGAGGATTCCTAGGATTTCTGCTTTAGTTTTGGACATCTCAAGCCAAGCCACTAAACAATTCAGAACTATCCCCAATAATATTTAAGCCAGTGAGGCCAGCTGCCACTGAGAGAAATCAATCCACTAAAAGGAAGAGGAACAAATGGTTATATAACTATACACACTGATTATTTGATTGATTGATTGATTAAGCTGCTTCATATAAATTTATTTTTAAAGGTGATAATCGATCAGGTAATGCTCCATCAAAAAGCAAGAAAGAAGAGAGCAAGTTATACAAAAATAAGTTAAAAGAAGTATATAATAAGGAAGAATAAAATCTTTTAAAGCAGAATAATAGACAAAAACAAAAGCTTAGTTATTTTAAAAATTCTAATAAACCTGCAAAAAACAATATGTAGTAAGCTTGGTTGGAAAAAAAAATAAAAAGGAGGTCAAGAGTGAAAACAGCAAAGACAGATATAAATAATATAAGGAATAAGAAAGGAGATGTCATGACAGATCCCAGAGATACGAAAAGATAGAAAGATTATGGTATAGGGCAAGCCCTGTAGTGTAGTGGTTAAGAACTGCTTATTGGAGGGACCAGCAGCTAGTGTAATGGCTTTGATGCTGAACTCCCATGTAGTCAACCACAGTTCTACTCCCAGACCTCGTAGCTTAAACTCATGCCAGGCGCATGTGCGTGCATGTCCAAGATCCCAAAAATGGAGGAGAAGGGATTGCATTGTGGCCATGCCCCCTTGGGGGTGATTTCTTGCTTTCTGTCTCTCTGTCTCTCTCTGTCTTTCTGGAGAGCACTCGCGCCCTATAGCAAAAACCTCTCAAAAAAAAAAAAAAACTGCTTATTAGAAATCAGATCCCACATGCTAGTCCTGTGTATGTGCAAACTCAAAATCCTAACTAAGTTAATGGAGGAAAAGGATTGCTGGAAACAACCACACCTCATTGAGGGAGAGGGATGCTTTTTCTCTTTCTCTCTCCTCTCTCTCTCTCTCTCTCTCTCACTCTCTCTCTCTCGGGAGTTCACACCCACTAGCAAGTAAAAGGAAGGAAGGAGGAAAGGAAGGAAGGAAAATTATAGTATGTAAAATTTTATGCCAATAACTTTGAAATTTAGATAAAAATTAACAAATATTTATTCAACCACCAGGTCACAGATGGCTTGTTACTGGTAAAGTCTAACAAACTCCTTTTTTTTTCAAACTCTTAATAAATAAATAAAACCAAATGTGTATAGAAAATATAAAAATTAAATACATTCTTGCTGACTAATGTTTTGAGGTGAGCATAGTCCTAACATTGAGGACATGATATCCAGCTGGCAAGGATAGAAGAAAGAAAAATTATAAGCCAATTTCACTGAATAAAGATGCAAAATATCCATACAAAATTTTAACAAACTGAATCTAATGACAATTTAAAAAAGAATAAAGCATAGCCTAGTTCAGATTATACCAGGGATGTTATTTCAGGAATGTTATATAACACATTAACAGAATAGAAGGCAGAAATCTATGGGTATCTAAAAGATACATGATTTAATAGTTACTTGTAATAGAAACTCTTAGCATGTTAGAAATAGAAATACACCTTTTAAATATGATCGAAGTATTTTTCTAATGCAGCAAATATTATATTTAAAGAGAAATACTGAAAACTTTGCCACTGGGATTAAAAACAAGTATGAACACTGGTCTAATCTATTCAATACTGTAGTGAAGGTCCTTGACATTAAAATTAAAATAACTAAAAATTGTAAGAGTTAAAGAGGACAAGTAAATCTGTTATTTTATGCAGATGGCATGCACATGGAAAATTCAAATGAATCTACCACAGCTAGTACAATTGACAAGAGAAGTCAGCACGGCTGGTGGGTAAAATTTCAATAAACAAAAATCAATTACGTTTCTTCTTTGCTAACTAATGAAGAAAGTGGTTTCCATAAATGTGTAATTCAAAGTTATTTAAAATCATATAAAAATTATATGCACAATATAAAACAATTATTGCATACTATGAGAGTAAATATGGGGGATCTACCATGCTTTCTAGGAAGACAGTGCCTCAAAAAGAAAGATGTAACTTAAATATAAAATGGGGAACCAGCAGTTAGCATAATGGCTATGTCGCTGGACTGCCACATAGTCGACGGAGGTTCGTGTCCCAGACCCAGTAGCTTAAAACTCACGCCGGGTGCGTGTGCGTGCGTGCCCAAGATCCCGAGAGGAGAATGGAAGAGAAGGGATTGCGGTGTGACCCTCCCCCCTGGGGGTGATTTCTTGCTTTCTGTCTCTCTGTCTCTCTCTGTTTGTCTGGCGAGCACACGTGCCCTATAGTGAAAATCTCTCCCCCAAAAAAATATATATATAAAATGAAAAAAAGACAGGACTATTCTAGGATGAAGATACTAGCAACTTTTTTAGAGAATAAACTTCTAAAGATGTTAAATTTTGTTTAAAATAGTTTTACCTTGTCAAACAGCTATTGTACAACAGATGAATAACCTCTATTAGTCCTTTCATACTTATTAATTTATTACATCCAACTATTTGTAGATTAATTTTTTCTCAAGGTAAACAATGGAAATGTATAAAATTACTTATAGAATTAGACCATTACCAAGTTAGTAATTGAAGAAGTGATTCTATTCATTTCTCTGAAGCTTACATTTTAAGGTTTTGGCATTGACTTTATAAATAAAAAAGAATATTCACAAAAAGAATATTCAAGTTTAAAAAACTTACATACAGACTCAGATTTTCGAGACTAGAACCTTATCGCTATATGTAGTACTGTCCAGTTATTTCTCTCGGCACACATGCTTCTCACTTAAGTGGTAAGCACTATGCTGAATTTTGTTTCTATTATTCTCTTTCTTTTTATGAAAAAATTTATCAAAGACATGTGTATTCCTTTAAAAAGAAAGTTTTACATATTTTAAACTTTATGGAAATGGAGTGATTTTTATGGATTCTATAACCTTTTTGGTGTTATTCTTCAACATTGTGTTCATGGAACTTAATGAGAATGGTCCATTTACTTTACTGCTTTATAAAATTTCATTATGTATATGTACCACAAAGATTTTTTGTTATTGTTCAGTTTTCCTAATCTGTAGGCAACTAGATTTTTGTTTCCAGGTTTGTTTGTGTTTAGTCTGTTTCTCATATACAAATTTGGCTATTTTGACCTGTTTTTATATGTAAGGTTTCTCTAGAGGATATGCCCAGGAGTGAAATTGTTAAGTCATAATATAATATAAGTACATTTTCTTTATTTTCTCTTTTTTTAAATTTATTTTTTTATTTTTTATTTTGGTGTAGGATGCATGTGCTCATTGAAGAGAGAGGGCAAGTGAGAAGGCATGCCCAAGGAGGATGGCCATGTCACAATCCCTTCTCTTCCATTATCTTCTCAGGAGCTTAAGCACACACGCACACACACCTGGCATGTTTTTCAAGCCACTGGGTCTAGGGCTCAAACTATACATTC